TCCTGCGAATGGACCTCAGTCACTGTATCAAACTCTTACCCCCGGTGGTCCTTCCTTAGCTGAGCAATATTCAAACCAGAGGGAAAGTTTTATCCCTCGGCCTGTGCTGGATGGAGCAAATCTTGGGTCTTCCATTGGATTTAGTCAAAATCATGCCTCGCCCTCCTCTCCCATCCAACAACAGCCTCACTGGACACACTCCAAGGGTACGTTTTTTTATTTTTATAAGCGCCAATCCCACTGGAAATTACTTACAAATAATTCAGGATCATCTAATAAGTTAGGAATCAGACTCAGTCCAGAAGCAGTACTTGTATAAACCATAAATAACCATATAATTCAACAGATTTAGTTAGGATGGGTATCTTTTCCTTTCCGATAATAGTGAGTTTTAATGTTTAATGTTATCTGGATAAAAATAAAGATTCTAACTCTTAACATGGCTCTCTTTCATCTCCTCAGGAGCCATAAGTGAGATGAGTCCCAGTTCAGTTGCACAGGACAGAGCTTTGACCCCACAGGTTGGATCATTTCTCAAACTGAATTACATCTGTTCAGATTTTTCATTTGATTTATGAATTTATTTATGGGTCAACTTATACTTTAGCCTGTAGAGTGTTTCACCGTTGACCACATTCAGTCGTATCGTCTTCATATAGATTTACTGCTGGGATACTAAGAAAAAGATAGCAAATACTTTAATTAAGGACACTAAAATTCATGAGTTCATTCATTCATATGATTAGTAATAGATTTAGCATTACCATTAAACCACTCTAAATTCACATTATTAAATAACCCAACCCGTACAGAATGATACTAACTCAATGTTTATTACACCATCTAAATCGTATACAGGTTATACTGAGCTTTGTAAACAAGCTCATATTTGCTTTATATATTATTTTCCCGAAAATGTTTGTTGTTATTACTAAGTAAGATCATCACACTGCCTCTTTTTGAAGGTATCGTAGAAAGCCAACATTCCTAGATTGGAATTAGACCAGGAAAGCATTGTTAAAGTTTGTTTGTGCACAAAGGCACTGTTACACAGTTTTCCTGTTACAGTCTCCAGGCTCTGAGTCCCGTTATGGTCTGGACCCGGAGCTGCTGCCCAGCGCTGTAAGTAGCTCCACAGTCTTTATAAAGTCCAGAGAGAGGAACTCTCTCCTTTCCAGGTTAGCAAAGGAAAAGCTTTTAGCTGTGCGTCTGTGTGTGTCTCAGGTGAAGGTGGTGGCAGAGGACAGGGCAGAGTGGGAGGGCAAGGTCTTCGTCTCGGAGCCATTTTCCCGTCTTCCTCCCCTGGCTTCCACTTCCTGTGTCATCGAGGACAAAGGTGAAGTCCCTCTGTGTCCCACTAAACGCATTTAGCTCTTTAAAGGTTTGATAGGAGTTCCACTAGGCTTGTCACGATCCGATCCAGACTCCAGATCCAGTTTAAAAAAAACAAACAGACTCTATAATAAACAGGTACTGATTAAGGTACTTATTATGAGGCAGACTTTGCAATTCATTTCTTCTTATTATATTCTTTTAAGTGTATTTGTATAGCACATTTTGTGTACAAGACAATTCAAAGTGGTTCACAGAGAATTTAAAAGCAGAAAAACAAGAAAAAGAAAAATAATCAAAATTAAACACATCCATTCCACTTTGTTGTGTTGTTCCCTAATATCCGGTCCCGTCATTTTCCAGCACACCCTTTAGCATTAGCATTAGCATTAGCATCAGCATCTCCTAACCCACAGCTCTGTGTCCTGACCATTAAGACGTCTATGTAAATTTGAAGCTATCGGTAAAAATGTCAGTTGTGTGGGATTATTTTATCCCATTTTGTGTTTATCCCTGAATAAACAGGTCATTGTCTCTTTACCAACCATTGTGTGTTATTCAGACTCCCCTAACTCAGCTGGCTAGCTGTTATAAGAGTAAATCCCTGTTCAACATGAGTCTGACAACTAAGTAAGTAGAATAAATAACTTTAATACATGCTCTGACAGACCGGGATCGAATCGGAAGTGCAAAAAAAATGGATCAGGACATCCCTAGTCCAGACCCCAGATCCTTTTTTTTTTTTTTGAGGTCCGATCCGGTTTCTAGAGCACACCAATTAAATAATCCATTATTCCTTACTGTGTTGTTCCCTAATATCTGCTCGGTCATTTTCCAGCACAGCCTAAAGCATTAGCATTAGCATTAGCATCTCCTAACTCCACTTGAGCATTAGCATTAGCATCTGTAACCCACAGCTCTGTGTCCTAACCATTAAGTTGTTATCAGAGTAAATCCCTGTTCAACATGAGTCTGGCAACTAAGTAAGTAGATAAATAACTTTAAACATTAACACATGCTCTGATAGGCCGGGATCGAATGTGAAAAAAGCTGGATCTGGACATCCCTAAATTCCACTAACGATGGTGGAATTATACATCGAGAAGGAATATGCTGGGCTGGGAGAGGAAAATAGCTCTAATGTGAATCACAGATGTCTTCTTTTTTTTTTTTTTTTTTTTTTTCAATTTTCAATCTTTATTAAATCCTTCAACAATTAAACATACAGTGAAACCAATGTTGACAATATCACTACTGTGTTTTTAACATTTTCCCCCCTGAACCCCTCCAGATCCTCCCGTACTCCCCCCACCCCAGCCAGCATAAGGACCTAAAGGAAAAATTAAAAAAATAAAATAAAATAAAATAAAAAAAAGTACAAACACACTGTATCTTTTATTCTGGACCAATACTTTTTGAGCCTTTCCTCTATGGTTTTAAGAACGGTTCCCACATACTCTGATACGCCTCAATCTGACCATTTAACAGATGTCTTCATGAATCTTCTGCTTGTGTTGTAGGTAATGCCAGTCCCCTCGCCCTCCGCTCCACCTCCTATTGTGTGCCGTGTGAGGGTCAGACAGCCCTGCTCACCCATCTGCCTCTGGGAGTCCTGGTCACTCCACTAGCGAGAGGAAATTCCAGAGAGGTTGGTTTATTGTGGGCTCTGTTGGAGTCATAAACCAGCATTACCTCCATTAACTCATTGACTGCCAGCCATTTTCAGAACAGAGAGTCCCATACTGCCAGAGTTTTTTGAGCATTTTGACTGATTTTTCAAGAGCCGCAGAATAGTTTGTGCTATGACTATGTAAACACCGAACACACCAAAAGAAAGAGTAGACTCTCTTCTCTCATCAGGAAAAAAAATTGTTTCTACCTTATTCCGTTCTTCCTGGACTTGCGTCTCATCGGCGACATGTTCTCTCATAGCGAACCGTTCCCTTTTTCTTATTTGCCTACAGTCTATGCTCATCTCCCATCAAAAGTGGCACTGCCCCCTAGAGGGTCAATTTGTTACTACATACTCTGTCTAGAAGCCTGATATTTACGGACAAGCTTTAGCAGATCGTCCCCCAAGCCACTCTCTTTATGAAAAACATAAAAGACGTCTATAGACGTCTTTGGCAGCCAATGAGTTAAGATACTTACCTATTGGATTCAAATCCATCCTCAGCTTTTTCAAAATGTGTTAATTTTTTTGTGGTCTCCAGAAGCCCCTCCCTGTACGCAACGCCACAGATTGCATTGTGGGTTGTGGTTGGTGTGGGGCTTCGATGTGCCCGGCCATGGGCTGGCAGGACTGTGGGCAACGGTTTTACTGCCCCTTCTGTGGTAAACTCACTGAGGGTAAGATGGAAAGATGTTTTTTTTTTTTCTCTAGGTGTAAAAGTTTCAAATGGATGTCCAATCAGAACAGGTGTTCGTTCTCTAACGCTAATCCGGTTACAGTCGTTGAATAGGTCACTGTTCAGATTGAGCATAATGTTATAACAGCGATTTATTGTCTATCTAACATGAACGAGGTTTCCTATTTTTTGTCACCTTGTTTTTGCTCTCTCTCTCTCCTTTTTTGCCTCAGTGCCATGGCAACACTACCAGCCCACCCAAGGGTCGGAGGGGGTCCGAGTAGATAAAGACACAAGACCTGAACTCAGTCTGGGGTCATACGAAATGCTTACCTCTAAGGTTAGATTCCCTCTCCGTATATATATATATATATATATATGTATATTAGGAATGTCCCGATCCAGCTTTTTGTACTTTCGATCCGACCCCGGCCTATCAGAGCCTGTATTAAAGTTTGAAGTTATTTATCTACTTAGTAAGTTGTCAGACTCATGTTGAACAGGGATTTACTCTGATAACAACTTAACCCTATAATGCCAAATGTATCATATTTGATACATACGGTTTCTGAAATGTTTTGCGTCTGACACCTTTTGCATAATTTTATGGAAAAAACTTTGTTCAAAATCCTATTGTACACAATCAGATACACCTGATAACAGGGGGGAGAAGACTACACAAAAAATAATCTGGACTTATTGCATAGTAATAAATTATTAATATCAAAACTTTATTTTTCTTTTTTCTTTTGATATATTTTGTTAAAAGGCCAAATAAGGAATCCAAACTCAAAAAAAGTAATTTTCTGTTTTGTTTTATTCTTGGATCAGGCTTTAAAGGGTTAATGGTTAGGACACAGACCTGTGGGTTAAGAGATGCTAATGCTAATACTCGCCTGGGATCAGACTTTAAAAGCCGGCCGATACACAGTTTTTTGCGAATATCGGCGGCCGATTTGATCCGGATATTTGGCACGTAAACGCAAAGAACATTCAGTTGAGGGTTTCTTTGTGTCGGTTGAGTTTGACCGTTATTGTCCTGTTACTGTCCTTATTTCTTCAGGATGAACCCGCTGCCCTGCTGCTCGCCATAGACGTGTCTCCCTCCGCTCTCAGGGGAGGCAATTTGGAATTTGTGACACAACAGATAAACGCAATGCTCGCCTCTTTGAAAAGGTGAAACGTGCTCACTGCCCATGTTCCTCCGTACACCCTCATTTGTTCATTGATTTTAAACACTCAGGATAGATCGTAGACATAACTAGAATAGGCTGTTCCTGCTGCAGAGCTGTGAGAATGCCAAATGCTCAATGGAGGAGGCCGATCCAGATATCGGATATATATACATATATACAGATATATATACAGATATTGGATATATATACATATACATATACATATATATATATATGTATATATACTGTATATATATAGGGATGGCTCGCTTAACCCCCTCTGCTCTTATTTCATGATATATATATATTAC